TTTTTTTTTAAATTGCAACACCTATTTTTGTCACCAGATATGGATAGATTATTTTATTCTAAGTAATTTTGATCCATTGACCATAATTCTAAACCTAAAATTGAATGAGTTACAGCTTTTTGAAATTTTAAAATAATTAAATGTTTTCGATTTTACCAAAAATATTATACGCTTGAATTTGATACAAAAGTAAATCATTTTTTAACTAAAATTAAATGCATTTAAATAATTGAATACAAAATTACCTAAAAAAAAATGTATAGCTAATTTAAATTTAATTGCGTTATTATTGTGCGATAAAAGTTGTTGAATTATTTCCAGTTTTATTATTAGTACTTTGATAATAGAAGATTATTTCTAATTTTATTCTTAGTACTTCGATAATTATTATAGATATTGACATATTGTTTGATTATCAAAAATGAACTAATGCACGTTCACTCTGTATTGTACGTTCATCGATGACACTTATAACTTTTAACATAATACTTTCTATCTAATCTATGAAAAAATCACTCAATTCAAGCGTATAATGTTTTTGGTAAAATCGAAAACATTTAATTATTTTAAAGTTTCAAAAAGCTGTAACTCATTCAATTTTAGGTTTAGAATTATGGTCAATGGATCAAAATTACTTAGAATAAAATAATCTATCCATATCTGGTGACAAAAATAGGTGTTGCAATTTAAAAAAAAATTTGTATTGCTCATGCGCATACTACAAGAGTTAAAAATTTGAAATTTGTCCTTAAATGTGTTTTTCAGTACCCCTTAGCTATTGCAGCAAACCGTATTTCAATCTAAGATTATCGGGCTGAGATATTTAGTGGTACATTTAAAACGGGACACACTGTATATAACGAATCACATTATCTACATATATTAAAACAAATATTAATACCCAATGCATTGTTTTTTAACAAAATCAAACTAGTTTTTACTAAAAATAGAATAATGTGTCATATTAAAAGAATAATTGATTTAATCAAAAATAATGACAATCAAAGTACAAGCATAAATACATAAGTTAATTCTGTAATATTTACAATATTATATTTGTATTATATTACCATCTTTCAAAACACCAACAAATTGTACAATAAGCATATAGGATAAGAGTTAAAACATGGATTGCTTGAATAAGAACCCACCCATTAGTGGGCACTTACTTGACTTGATGTTTAGGGTAATTAAGGAGGGATATTTAATTTAAATGGTCACGACACCATTTCCTTTTGAGTCTACGTTGTAGAATTCCAGGGAGTGAGAAGGTTTGGTAATTAGCTCTTTTATTAGTGGGTTAGGGTGATTTTCAAGTCTGTCAAAAATACGTTTGTAAAAAAGTTTCACTTCAGTTACAACAGGTAGAATTCCAAGATCTTAGTGGAGAGTTAAGTTAGAGACAAAGAAGGGAGCGTTAGTGATTTAAGATTTTAATGATCGTGGTACTTGCTTAATAATACGACAATAGTGATCTAGGCGATACCAGCGCTCTCTATTAACTCTCTCTTATTTTAGAACTTCCTGGCAACGGATTTTAAAAGCTTCTCAATATATAATTGTTATCGCGTCACAATGTCATGTAACTCTAATATTGTAGTATAGGTATAGTGTGTTAGGTATACCTACTGATTAGTGTACGGTTTTATTTGTTTGTGTTAACTTGAACGTATATTTTTATAATATTTTTACGAATAGGTATTTACAGGTAAACAATGAAAATTGCAAGTAGGTGTTAGTAGTGTTTTCTATGTATACCTAAAAAAAAAATTAACCTTAATATCATAACTATAGGTACAGGTATGTAAAATAATATTTTTAATTAAAATAGTGAATTCAATACGCCAATTAGACAATTTGTTTTCTAGTTGAATGTGGTACGTCATTGCCTTTATTATTATTACTTCAAAAAAAATATGTATCGAGTTTCAACCGTCGCCAACTATATTAGCAAGGGTTTTAAATAAGTTTTGCATTCTTACCGGATTATAGCTGTAGCCAATAATTATTAATATATGACTACCTATATGAGGTACCTATTGGTAGATTGAAATCATTTTTTCAAAACCACTGTATTTGCATATACCAATATTTTCCTAAAATGATTAATAGTTTTTTGATAAAGTGTGAACTACTTGTATGAAAAATCTTGTATTACATTTTCAATCCTTAGAGCAATAAAAATTTTATATTTTATACATTTTTTACTACAGTTATTTGTGATTTTGTCAAAAATTGATCTTTAAATTCTTAAAGAAAATGATCTTGTCTATGTATCGTTAAATTTTTCTAAATAGCTATAAGAAAAACGTATGAGGAACCTTTTGGTATTACATTTACACTTTCAAGCTTTTAAACCAAACGAATAATTTTTTATTACCATTTTTCGAAAAAAATATAAAATTAATCAAATACCAGCGAAGACTGTCTAAAAATGTCACTAAACAATATTAATAAATTATCATTTATTTATTTTTGTTTTTCCCCATTATTTTAAAAAGTAGGTACTTACTGAGAATTTTCAACCTCCAAAAAGTACAAATTATATTCAATTTGATTTCAAAAAATTGTAAAAAATAAGCTTCCTACTTGATTCAAATAAATAATTTGCACTCAAAACACACATTTTTGGAAGCAAATTGAATATAATTTGTACTTTTTGGAGGTGGAAATTGAAAATTCTCAGTAAGTTTCCGTTATTTTTGTTAAGTAGGTATCGATAAATGTTTTTACAATCAAATGTTTTTAGTATTACAAAATATAAAAATAAAAATGTTATATTATGAGTGGGTATGTTTTGCTCACAAATATTAATAAATTACGGAAAAAAATAAATTAAAAATATTTCATTTGTCAGGTCTTCCTGTTACATTCTGTATATATAAGTACCCATCACATATTTATAGACCTTCGACATGTTTGTAAAGAAAAAAAAACAAATGTAAATTGTGTAAATGTAGTCTTATCGTTGTATTGTGTGTCGAATACCTACTCATAAATCTTCACTTCAATAGTGGTTTTACTTTTATATGGATAGGTATAATGCAATACTATATAAGCGGGAGTATGCGTATATGATTATAATAGTTTTAAAAACATAGATAGGTAGGTACCTAGATGGGCATAAGTATACCTACTTCAAATATATTACCTAATATTACTACCTAATTAAATCTTTGTCTCTAATCCTCGTAATATTGATTGGTGTCAATTGGTGTTCATAAACTACTCTTAATTTTTAGCTAGTAAATAATGTTATATCATTGATCAAAATAGATATTTATATACCTAGTTAATTTATGAACATTTATTATTCAACTGTTAATTCAATTTACGGGTATACCGTGTTAAGTCATGTTGACTACTAACCTGGTAGTCGGTATACCTATTAATTTCATATTTATATACCATAATGTGCACGATGCCCGTGTCCCGTTACACGGCTGTGATAAAAAAGCGTCGTGTCATATCTAAAAGTTAAGCTTGATCCAATTCTGAAACTTCTTGGTAAAGTGCTAGCAGATCACGGTTAGTGCTGTACCTATTAGTTGTATTTAAAATGCTTATCAATGTAGGAACATTTGTTTTTAAATGTCAATACACATTACACAACGTAAGTACTTAAAAGCACTGCTAAAAATAAATCGATCATACATAGCGTTTTCCACCACTCTGCACCGTTGCACCACAGTCGCAATCACATAGTTCACTGGTATTACATCGATGCAAGTGTAGATGAAATAGAGGTGGATTGATATCAGACTGATGAAACATAACTTCGAACATAACCATATTATCAAGAAAATGATAAATCCCACCGTCGACTGGAGCTCGTGCAATCATCAATAATGCGCTTGATCGGTCTCGGGGTGAAAATAACTGGTAGAGTGTATAATGAGGCGCATAGGTACAATTTCAGTTTTTGACTTGAAAGGCTGGCTTTATATATTTAAATGAAACAGACTCGTTGCCCCCCCTCCTCGTCCGGCTCTGTTCCACGGTTCATCCAAGATCCAAGTACCTACTTTATATTATCTAATACATAATATATTTATCATTTTTTTTCATCCACTTTCGTTCATTTTGGTAATATACGCATTATAATACATTTGCATATTATTTAAATGAAAAATATTTTCATTAAAACAAATTAAACATTTAGGCACTTATTTATGTATGTATTATAATTGATAATAATTGTAACCGTCGCGCGTTGATTGAAAATTGGAAATTCATAAAAAAAACCCTATCCTATCGAGTATCGACTATATAGTATATTCTAAATAAATTGAAATGTTATCACTTATTAGTAATATACTAACATGTATTGTAATTACTAATTTGTAATACCATTATTAAAAATATATTATGTTCTGTGGGTGGATACGAAATTAGAAATTAGAAAATAATTTCTTCAAATACCTGAGTAATAACGCAATGACTGAATTACGTATAGATTTGATAACTAATGAATGATTTAATACTTCAATGAAAATACAACATTTTGGGGGGACACATTTTGATATTGGTGGGGCTAAGCCCTTCCGAACCCCCATCCAAATGTTGACTATGGTGTGATGAAACATAAAATATGTCATCCAGCGGGCACCAGTAGGTATTTCAGATGGAACATTCATTATGTGCAACAGTGCAATCGGTGCAGTATTTTGGAAAACGATAACAGACATTCCAAACTAAAGGCGCCTGCACTGCACCTCCTTCGTGTTATGTGTTGGTTGTGTTGTGTGTTTTTCCGTCGCGCCGTGTTTTTCACCGTGTCATGAAGTTCGTTGGTAATCAATAATCATGGTAATAGATAAATATTCCCTCCTTATATACATTTAAAATATTTTTTACTACACAATCTGTTCAAATAAATTTAGAATAATAAGTGAATGTGATGAGAGAAAATAAAGACACCTACAACTATAGAATGAAAAAACTTCGTGAAGGAACTTAGAAATGTTCCCAACTGAAACCATAGAACAAAATATGTTTATATATTTTATTCTGATACCTAGCTATGATAAATGATGATAATATGATATTATTTACTTTATATACAGTTTTTGAGTTATGAGTTGTCTAATCAAATGACTGATGTTACTTGTTATTTTTTTTTTAATTTTAAAAATGGACAATAGTTATGATTTTATGAATATGATATGAGCATAATATTATATTGACACAAAATATACAGAGGTATTAACTAGTTTTATTTTAATTAATATAGGTACATATTTATAAAATAAACCGCTCAAATAGAATCTATAATTAATTAGTATACATGTACAATATGAGTTTCTTGACAATTTTATCTATGACCAAAATATGATTGATTTGTTCTATAAATCAATATATTGCTTTACCTATGCTTTGATGTTAGCTAATTGTACCACAATAGGTTGCTCTAATTTGCTGTTGTTTATAGTATTTGGAATTACCTACATGTCGATCTTTTAATAATTCTGAATCTCCTTCTTCTTCATCATTCTCTTGTTTAATAATAATATTTTTAGTTTTTTATGTTTTCAGAAACTAAGGATACAAATCTATAAAAATTTAACAAGTTCAAAATGTTTTCAATAAATAAACGTATGATGCGAATGAAATTTCACTATTTTCTTTATTTGGGTGGTAAGTATGACAATATATCAATCAACATTTCTAAATTGTACTCTCATAATATGACGTCTTATCCATGTCGGATACGCCACTACGCTAATGCGCATTCAATTTACAAAAATAATTATTGTACATGTAAAGGGTTTCTTTAAATCATATATGTTATAATTTATTCATTACAATAATGATCAATATATAATATGTAACCTGCTGGCTTAAAAACACTGTACAAAATATATGACCTATAGGGACAAAAAAGTATAATACTATAATAGTGATATAACGGGTATTGCTAATATAGATAATGGCGTAATGCTCGTCAGCCGACTATCTGTAGGCGTCGGTCAGTGGCTTTTTTTTTTATCAGAACTGACTTTATACTGTCTCAGGATGCTCAAATAAAATTATATTTACAACGACATTCAAAAATGTTGTAATTACTTTTAACTATAGGTATAATATGAAATATGAATAAATTATTGCTATTTAAATCTCAGATTTTGTTATATGATGAGTAGAGACTGAAATAATATGCACTAAAAATGTATAAAATACGAGGAAAATAGGTATGCATTGCAAAAGGAGCCAACTATAAGCCCGAAACGTTATAATATGTAATATCAATAAAATAATAAAATACTAATTAATAAACAATATTTGTTTTTGAATTTAGTAGTTTTTTTTACATATAGGTACCTATTAGTTTACTAAAGCTTAAAGGTATATTTTTATATACATTACAATAATTCTTCTATTCTTGTGCATGTCACTGAACTCCTTCTAAACAGCTGTACCGATTTTATGTGTTTGAGTGAGTCCTTGGGTGGTTAAGAATTAAGATTCACAATTGGAGCAGGAGAGGTACATATACAAGGATTTTGAGATTTACGGTGGAAATAATTTTTTTTATTTATAAATATGGTTGCTATTATTTACAGCTTGCAGATTATAATAGTAATATGAGAAATAATTAGTATATTTGTGTTGCTATTGCTTACTTGGGTAGATGAAGTAAAACCATGTAACCATTTTACTATCAAATCGTCTCGTTTATGGTTTCGAATAAATAAATTATAACTTAAATCAAATACGAGAGTTGAATGTATGTTTGTAGCTTAAATAGGAACTCAAAAATTGTTTATTTTTTCAATTTGTATAGGTGAATAAAGTTAGATCACGCATGACTTTTTTCTAGCTTACGAAAAAAAAATTTTTAGTTTTTAAAAAGTTGCATTTGGTTACATATTATATTACTATTATAACTAGAAGAATATGTGCACAGATATCTACATTGTTTTAAAAATAAATTTAAAAAAAATTACAAATAATTTTCACGAGCAACATCGGGTGGGGGATAGTTAGTATTATGTAAAATATTAAAATATTAAATAAATAATACATAATAGACACTTTAACTTTATAGTCTGTAAACAAAATTAATTAAAAAAATTATAGAAAATCACATCTGTATTAAAATTCAGAAACCAACTTTTAGATTTTATCAAACATGTAAAATATAATATGTATACCCACCTCTACACACATATGAATTACTAACTTATTAATACTTATCAATTATTATCAAGTAATATTATAGTTTCAAACTATTAGCTTATGAACATCGTGTTGTAAATAAGTAAAAAATCAGAACTGAATACACAAATAACATAATTTATTATTTACTAAAAGTATCAGAAAAATGCACAGTACTTACTTACCTACCAAGGGCCCCCACAAGGAGGGGAGCTGTTGGACCTGGAGTACAGGGGCGTTTTGAAATGAATTTATAATGTTTGACATTTTGATACTTTCATAGGAAATTTACTTATTTTATATTAATATTTTATGGGGCTAACAAAACCATTTAGTACAGGAGCCCAAAATATGATGAGGGGGCCTTATCTACCTATTCAATGTAAAGTATAAACAAAATTTATCATAGATAACTCTATTATCTAAAAAGGTAATTATTTGAAAAATACAATTATGTGTATGAAATCAGTTTGAAACACCGACGTCCGACATGTCAAGCCTTCAAATGCATAAAATTCCGGTTTATAGTGATAAGAATATTGAACTAAAACCTATTTACTATTAAAATAATAACCTAATAACTGTATAATATATATAGTTGGTTACCTACCTATTATATAGGTAGTTATATTTTATTTACATACCAAAACTTACTAAGACACTTGTCTTGTACAAGAATACTTACTTGTCTCTCTAGTCTAATATATTTTTACATTTGAGTTTCAGATAGTTATAATTTATATTCTACGATAAACTTATTTTAATAACTACTAATAGCTTATAGATTAAATTTTAACCTTGAATTTCAGGTGTTGCTTCTATCGTAGGATTTTCTCCGACCATAGCTAAACAAATGGGCTATTCACCAATGTTAGTTGGTTACCTTTACACATATCTATCTATTTTATCCTTTCTAGTCAAGCCTATTATTGGAATCATAGTTGATAAATTTCGAGTGAAAAGAATCATGTTTCTAGCATTTGTCTTAACGTGTGGTCTAACAGCATTTGCGTTAAATTTTATTCAAAAACTACCAACGGAAACTGCTGCGATTTTAAGTTGTAACACCACAACAGTATTGAACGTTTGTTCAAACGTTGCAGGCCAGTTGCCTGAATGTGATGATAGTCTATCTAAACTCTTAACAAATAATTCTGGGTCGATTACATGTCAAGTACGTTATAATTATAAGCTATTAAAATTAAAATTAAGTAGACGATAGGATAATATTAAAATGGTATTTTAAGGATTTTATAACTAAGGTTCGGAAGTTATAGGAGATGAAAAAGGAAAAATATGCATGTAAATATGAACAAAACAATTGTAAATAATAAATAAAAAAAAATGTCAAATATGGAAAAAAATTAATAAATAATCGCATAAATACCAAATATCAAAAACATTAATTTACGTTATTATTAACTGTCACTAAAAGAAACGTAAAAATATAAAATTTGAAATTTGAAAAAGCAATGTATAATATTTCAAATATGGCGGAGAAGAAAATTTTTATTGAAATGAAGAAAAATAGTTAAAATAAAATATATTCGAAAAATGTGTACACTATTAGTGCGATATACATTAAATGTACCGCTGTCGTTAAACCTAATACGATTTCAATAAATATTTACATTATATAGTTTTTAGTTATATATTCAATACTATTATTAAAATATACAGCTTATAAGAAAGAAAAAGATACATTTTTTTAGAAAATATTAAATATATGCATATTGCATAGTATACGTATAAAAATCAAGAAGTATACACTTTTCCCCTAAAATTAACGAAACATGCATGTTTGCATGCATTGTAAAATATGCATTTTAAATTTTCAAAAACTTACTATTTTACAGTTCAAGCTTTCGGATTTCTACTTTGGTCTCCTATAAATCGATAGCACATAGAATAATATACAACCTACAACTTTCGAGCCCTATAATTGATAACGTATTGTTTATTTTTTTATGTAATATTTTTAAAAATAAATTAAAAAGCTTAATTTACAAATGAATAAATAATACATTTTGTATGTACTTATTCTTTTTAGTTGTTTTGTCAGCCAAATAAATCATTTCGGGATGAAATATGTAAATCTTGGAGTAAGGATTATTGTATTCCTCAATACAACAAGGATACAAACAATAATCTTGAACATTATAATGTATCTTTGTTTAAAAGTATAACAGATCAGGTAAATTGTAAACATTTTATGTTATTTGCATCAAACATTGCTATAATAGGTACGCAAAGGATCTCTGATAGTCAATGCATACAAATCTTCATGTGTTATAATAACCGATTTTTTACACACATAGTAAATGGATCAGAACAAATATAAACAAATTTGTAAATAATATTAGAAAATTATTATTATAGTTTATAATTATTAAGGAGTTGATTTTAAATCAACCTTTGTCGAATCATTTATACAATATTAACTTTTCGATTCATATTTTATTATTTTATGAATGAAAATCATAATTTTGCATGTTATTTAAGTTATTTATAATTTTTCCAACTATATAATTTGCATTATTAGATAGAAAACAATTTCGGGTTTGAAGTAAAAATGGTGCAGTTCATGAAAAACCAGGTTTTATTATTTCCCTCGTGTCTAAAACCAGTGAGCACTGGATGTGAGATCGACTGCTCGAATGATGTTATAATGGAATTAGCTACTGTTACAAAGTTCGAAGGGAGCATTTTCGGCTTACACCAGTTCTGGGAATATTTCATTGTTATGAGTTTGTTTTGGGTTGGTCAAGCAATCACTTGGAGTCTTCAAGATCCAATTTGCTTTGATCTCTTAGGTAATTGTTTCTATTTAAAAAATTAATTTATCATTAATTTATCACACAAAAAACATTAATTACGATTAAAAAAAACATTAAGTATATTGTATATTATTGTCATTTGTCTTATGATAGTTGGTAAATAATATACACGAAATAAAGTAATAAATAATGTATATGTATATAGCTATGTAAATATAATATGTTAACCTATGTTATTATTGTTGTGTTATTCAGGTGTGAAACTTGAAGATTTTGGTAAGCAAAGGTGTTGGGGATCTATTAGTTGGGGACTTTTCTCAATATTTGGCGGAGCACTTGTTGATTATTTTAGTGATAGTGATATTCACAAGAACTACTCTCCTATTTACTATCTATGTCTTATAATCGTAGTCTGTGATTTCGTGGTAGCTTACAAAATAAAAGTGAGTTACTTGTATTTAATTCATAAGTCACTAATGGTTGGTACATTTTTATACCTATTCTATAATGTCTAATAGCAGACTGAATAGATATTTAGGATTATTATAGAATTTTAAATATTACATTATCAACTACTCAACTATACGATAATAAATTATTTTTTAAATGTTTCCATGCTTCATTGAAGATTACTGAGACAATTGGATCTAAAAATACACTATCTGACGTATTCAAATTGCTAACAAATGTGAATATAGTGATATTTTTTGTGTGGATCATATTAATGGGTGTTTGTACGTCTATGGTGTGGAATTACCTTTTTTGGTAATACAGACAATTTTTAAAATGATTTAACATTAAATAAATATTTTTTTATTTTGTTTAGAAAATTGTTAACTTATACATATATAATTGTAATGTTAGTGTAAAGTTGTAATATCATATATTCTTAATTCCTACGTTATGAACTTATGAATAACGTAATATTATTTTGTATTGTTATTCCTAATGTATGAAATATGGTTCGTTTTATATTTTATGCCTATTGAATATTTCTTGAATTTAACTTACCTGTTTTATAGGTATATGGAGGATTTAACTCAGAAGTATCATAGTGAAAAGCAATTGTGGATAAAAACATTACAGGGTTCAGCCATAGGAATCCAATGCATTGGTGGTGAAATGCCATTTTTATTTTTTTCTGGTTGGATTATCAAACGAATTGGTCATTCGCAATGCATGGCGTTAGGTCTTTTCACTTTTGCTGTTAGGTTTTACCTGTATTCTATTATAACAAATCCTATTTGGATACTGCCAGTTGAATTCACTAACGGAATCACATTTGGATTGTGCCACGCTGTATTGATGGAATACGCAAGAATCGTTGCTCCTGCAAGTGCTGTAACTACAGTGGTAGGATTTTCAGGAGCACTGTTTGAAGGTGTCGGTATGTGTATAACTATTTATGATATTTTTATGCCATATTTTGTGTTATTGAATTCATTTAACAGCGTCTTGGATATTTTTTTATCTTTTTGTATCACTTTATATTTTTTACTTATATCACAATGGGTAACCTAACCTATATGTTGACTAAACAAATATGTTCCTTGTGTATAGTGTTTATTTTGATTGGCTTAATATAATATTATCAGTTATACTATATCATTACAGTTAATGCATATAAATAATATTTTTGTCGTTAAAGAAGTTGAAAAATGACCTCAAAATAGTAACCACCATTACCATTGATTATACATACCTGGCTGTACATACACATTTTATTAATTATTATACTAAGTATAATCGATTCTATTATTAACTTATCAATACTATACGAACATTTCCATCTCAAAGTTGTTTAGTGAAGTTTTTGGAACATTTTCCATCCAACCAAATAAGTGGACACATTTATGAATTACTAGCTATAAATTCAATATTATAGTATATAACCACCAAAATAGGATATATTATTAAAGTATACAATTATTAATTCCCTTGCCTTATTGTTTATCTCAGAGTATTTAAGTTAAACATGTTATTGTTTTAACTAATTCAATAGGTATACTGTAATCAGTTTTGGAAAAAAATCTAAGATTAAATGTTAATTTAGTGTATAGGTGAGGAATTGGTCATTTTTATCATTAAACATTTTATTAAATCATTTATAAATGATCAATAATTATGTTTGAAATTTTATTTGCATTGCTTATTTAACTCTGTTTATAAATTTTTATTGTTTAGGTATATCTTTAGGTGGTTTAATAGGTGGATTTTTTTACGAAAAATTTGGAGGAGTATCAACATTTAAGTTATTTTCTTGCGGCTCCTTATCGATGGGCATTCTTCATGTTATATTTATTGTGTTTAGTAAGACAAATGTAAATGGTATAGGCACGATAAACTGAAATGATTTTTGTTTAAGTTAAAGCTACGTACCAAATTTAATGTTTTTACAAAATAAGTATAAATTGAAATGCAAAGTAATTTATGTATATTTATGTCTTAAGTGCCTACTTAAGTATCAACCTATAATAATGTTTAATAACTTATAATTTATAAAATATAATACTTATTAATCATTTATGCTTTATAGATCTTTTTGTTTGAACTGTATTTCATATATTAGTAAATAATTTTAAGGTTTTAAGTATTAATCATTAGTGTTTTCTGAAGTAACGGGGTCGGTTTCTTACTTTAATTGGATCACTCCGTATTATAAGGTAGGAACATTTTTTCCTACGGCCACTATGGTTGACGCAAATTCTTTACAATCTTCCGTTCTTTAGTTCGAATAACTGGCAGTTAATTTCTAATCAACGGACCCACAGAGAAAAAAATGGCTTAGTTTATATTACGTCTATATGTCTCCATAATACTAACCACCGGTCCAATCGATTTTTATGCATTTCCCATTATTTATTACTTCAATAATATTGGAATTAAATTAAATTACTAGTTTTTTTTACCATTTACCTGACAGTAACACTTGGTTAAACATAAAATATTCTACTTTAATATCTCCTCTCTGAATAGTAATTGAAATACAAAATCGTATTGCTTTTTATACTTTAAAGCAATGTATAAAAATTAATAATGTAACATAACGTATTTATTAACGTTGTTAATGAATTCGTTAATAGTTTTCAAAATTTCAAAGTTGGTGATATAATAAAAATATCAACATAATTCAATCAACCTGACCAAAAATTAAACTTCAATTTCCATAAATAAGTTATAATAATTTTAAGAATTATAATAATATTGGTTCAAAACATATGCGTATCCTGCAATCAGCTGCACTTTATCTGAATGTACTTGCAGTAAAAGGCAAGTATTTGCAATAGTATGATATTATTATATAATATCGACATAATATCAAACTTATTTTTAGCTACTTCGGGGGCCCACAAGGGGGAAACTTATTTCTCCTACTGTTTTCCAAATTTGTGAATAGCGTTCAGCGTGATCTGCTACACTCCCTTGTCCTATGTTTTGCGGATACCAGAAAGCTCTTTATGTAAATTTGCTCTTTAGAGGATTGTCAAATGCTTCAAGCTGAATTAGATGGGTTAGTCGATTAGGTGACAGCGTTAGATTTATCCCTTAACCTTTTCAAATGCAAAATCATTTCATTTACTAGAAATCAATCTCCGATAACCCTCATACCGCCTTGCAGTCGAAAATATCACTCGTGTTATAACTTTCTTACCGACCCTGCCTTCAAGTTAAGCTATAATCCAAAGGTGGATAAGTTAATGAAAATAATTAACACAAGTTCAGTTAAATTAAGAGAACACTAATCGATAAGTTAAAAGTTAACAGTTAACAAATCATTAATTTAACTGTTAAGTTAAAGTTGCTACAAAAAAAATACTAACTTAACTCAGTTTATAAAAGTTAAACTTTTGCTATAATCTCGATCCCAATCGTCATATCGAATATGTTTGCTGCAACATCACTTAAGACAACTTGGATTTTTATGAGATTGGCTAAACAATATAAACTTAATATGTCCATGAAAACTTTGTACTTTCCTATTCTCGAGTATAGCTGTCCTTGATGGACTGATGGTACAATTGAATGTTTAGAACTGCTTTCGCTAATCTCGTTCAAGGTACCTCAATGGTTAACACTAGATCCAATATGTTTTTTTTATGTCATGAATGCCTCCACTTATTACTTTGCGAAATGCGAACTAGCAGTTGCGTAGAGAAAAATGACTCTTCTTTTCTATTTTAGTTCTTACATTGTATTCTATTGTTTAAGTCTCCCTAAAACAATGATAGTCTAATATTTAAGATATTTTCTATTAAATTATGTACTCAAAAGCTACTATATAAAATGTAAAATGGGCCCTCCCCGTAAAATAAATATTTAATATGTTCGACCGTCAGTGTTTAGACAAGTCAGGACGTACATGTATAATATATATTAAACGTTTATTTCTAGTCTAGTATTATTCTATACATAAGTTTATGAGTGCACTCATTAAAACCGTATTATATTAGAACAAATTCTTAATTGTAAATATTAATAGCCGCCTTTTGTTATGTCTAAGTATCTACTGTAATTATTTAACTATACACTGTACAGTGTACAATGTACATGTATTGTGAAAGTGGCCTAGCCCGTATAATAAATATATAAATAATACATAGGGATAGGAATATGCGCTTATATTACAAGCGACAACACTGTTAATGACATCATGCTGTCATAGAAAAAAATATTTTCAAAAAAATTACTCAGTACTGACTGGTAAAATATAATATTTTATTACCTAGGTATCATTAGCATATTATTATTATAAAACTATGTTATTAACACTGCTAGGTACAAGAGGTACCGCAAAAATCGTGTAGTTAAATTGCCTACACAGGACCCCGTGCTATCATAATTTTATTTTTTAAATGCAAAAACGTAAATTAATATGTACCTACCTATTTTTTCAATAATTATATAGTTTATAATATATACGAACATTTTTAGATAAACTTTCTGCATCCGGAAATATTTAACTAAAAAATAGTTCTAATTAAATATTTTCTTTGAAAAAATTTAATAAAATATAAACAAATTACCATGACAAATATAACATTTGTAGACACAAAAATAAATTGTTTCTTCTTTTTTCGGATTATCGAATGTATAAATCAAACGTTTCAGATTTAACGACCAAAAAATCGATAAAACGTATATTTCGTTATATTATATGATATCGTATTTTAAAATATATTTTCAACAGAAAACTTGTTAGTCATTTATACACAGTAAGCTGAGAGTATATATTATGGCCATCGATCTACAGTATAACGCTCGACGAGTATTATTATTTATTTATTATTGTGTTCCAAGAACTATGTTAATCATCGGAGAAAACTGCAAAATAAATCATGAAATAATGCAAACTTCGGCGGATAAGACAAGGATAGGTATATATATAAGGATTTTTTTATATTAACTGTTAGCGGTATCAACAACAAGGTTATATTAGCCGGCGTTACATTTTTTTTTTACGTTAGAAGACAAAAAATAGAATTTACATTAAATTAATAAGCACTAAATTACTTAATTATTACTAAATATATTTATATATGCACATTGAACTGCACACTTACGTACTTAATAATTTTAAATGAAATAACGAAGTGCTGTTTCGTTGATGAAATTGATTCATTTTTTGGATTTCTCGGGAATGGGTGCAAGTATCTCGTATAGGGTCTCTAGTAATTCCAGTTTGAATTTATGAATTTATGAATTTATTATTTTGATTTATGTATATTGTATACATTGATCTTTGTATATATTTTCTAAACTTAAAAAATCACGTATGTATTTTTTTATGATCAACTGAAGTAAAAATAACATAAAGCATACACAATATATATGCTTTACCTTATAATTCCTTATTTGTATTACGACATTGCTTATTAAGTTATATTTTTAGTGCAAGAAGTTACGTAGTAGTTAATAGTTCAAGACTACCAAAATATTTTAAAGTATTTTTGTTCTCATGATAAACGGGGTCACCACATTAATTTCCGGTTTACGACACTTTATCGAGCCATGCTTTGAATTCAAAGTTAAATACGTACACATTATTTTCTCAGGTGTTTTAAAAATAAAAACTTGTTTGACGTTTTACAATATAGAAAATACAATTATTCTTTTGTGTGTCAAGTAAATAGTCAATTTATTGTGAACATTATTTATTTAGTGGTGAGGAGTTATGGATTAGAAGTTTATAAAAGAAATTGGGAAAAAATATTTTGTTTCACTTAATGTTCAGAGTTCACATTAATTGTATTATTTTCTTCTATTAAATCAAAATGATTTTTTTAAAGAATATTTGAATAACGTTTATAATTTTAATCGTAGCAATTTGGGTTATGCCGGTTATTACTTCAAAAAATAATGAAGCAAGAGGTATGAAAAATTAATTTAAATAATAAAACAAATCATAATATCATTATAGTTATATTGGTATGATAATCTTTTATTGTGTTGCTATTTATCGTCAGTGAGTTGTAAAGTCTTTTAGAGTTCATTTGAAAACTCAAACCACTTATTATTATGTTATTATATCTTTCAAGGAAAACAAAATGTATGCTGTTTATTAGATATTAATTTTATAGAATATTATGATGTCCGTGGTAATATTGTTATTCCTGAAAATTTTAAAAATAATGGAAGTTTTTTTGTTTTAAGAAAAAACGTCAAGTACATTGTTTATTCAGCTTATGTTTATTAATATATTGTTACAAATTTTAAAACTCATTTTTTTTTCAATTTCTCTCCATCTATGCTTATAAAATATATTATAATACCTTAGATGTTTAAAAATTAAATAATTTTCCTCTGTATTAAAGAAAATCTCATGGATTGTTTTATTTTGTTATAGTCTATTACTAAGAGATCATTATTGTATGTTAATCTGTAGTAAATAGCCAAGATGACTAATAAAAATATTTCATTTTATATTCAGATAAATGTTCACGTAAGACTATAAGTTAATAATTAATAAAAATATTATAATTATAATTATAACCTTGAAGAAAATTCAATGATTGATGTATTATATTGTGTATTCTTAAATTATGTTTGAGATTAACAACCATTCAAACATTGTACATTTTCGAAAACTATAAATGCCGAATCTATTTTCGATTGTTGTTGAAATGTTATAGTAAAAATTAGTTTTTTATAAAAATAATGTAAATGTACTGGAAAAGTATACAATACACAAATGTATAATATTTTGGAAATTATAAATATTTTATTAGTCATAGGTACCTACTCGAATAAATTCATCAGGAATTTTCTTTCAGGAAAATGTATACATACTTTTTTTTCGTGACATTGTTTTCGAGTATAAATCTTTCAATGCCCGTCCTTGCAGAAGGCCGAATAAATTCACAAAACGGAAAAGAATCGAAATATTTTATAATAAATGTTAAAATGATTTGTTAGTTAGCTTGTCAATTATCCATACCTAACGGATTATCATGGCTGGAAGTTGACGATTTTTTTTTAACTCAGTTAAATTAACATGCGACAATAAGACAAAGTTAAAAGTTAA